TGCTCTTTCATCAACCACCTTTCACCCATTTTGGGGTTTAGGTCCTTTAACATTGCTTTATGCACATCTATGTAAGGAATAACCTCTTCTGTATTGTTCAAAATATACAAGTGGGCGGTGGTCAACTCTACATGATCTTTTGTTTGAATTCTAATACCACGAGTTCCCTTACCATTTAGCCTATCATCATGACGATTTCTAGGTACACCCACAGGTACGACTCTTGCCAAGTAATCTGAACAAAATTCTATGGCTTCTTCCGCAATATACCGCTCAACAATTGAAGCTTCGAGTCTATATGGATTTTTAGAATACCCTTTGAAGATCTTCATGTATCGCTCAATTGGATACATCCACCTCAAATAAACCGGCCCACAAATTCGTATCTCCCTCACAACATGAACGATTAAGTGAATCATTATATCAAAGAATGATGGAGGAAAATACATCTCCAATTGACATAGCACAACTAGTAGCCTCATTTTCCAACTCATCTAGTGATTTTTCATCGATAACCTTGGCACAAATAGAATTGAAGAAAAAACATAGTCGCATAATGGCATGTCTAACATTCTTAGGCAATATGTTACGTATAGCCACGGGTAACAACTGTTGCATCAAAACGTGACAATCATGGGACTTTAATCCAATTAACTTCAGATCTTTCATGGATACAAAACTCTTAATATTTGAAGAGTATCCTTGTGGCACTTTAATACTTGCAAGACAATGACATAAACTACGTTTCTCCTTCTTTGACAAGGTGTGAGATGCTGGTAGTAGATATGTTTTATTGCCTTCAGGCCTTGGATGTAATTCAGGACGTATTCCCATCTCACAAAGGTCTTGACGTGCTTTGATCCCATCCTTTGACTTTCCTTGAATGTTTAACAATGTGCCAATGAGACTATCACATACATTCTTCTCCACATGCATAACATCAATACAATGTCGTACTTCTAAATGGCTCCAATATGGAAGATCAAAGAAAATTGATCTCTTCTTCCACATGTTCTTGTCAGAAGACCTTTTTTGGGTCTTTCCAAATGTAATGCTTATGTTCTTCACTCGATCGTAAACTTCTAAACCAGTCAATGGTTCTCTCGGCAATTTCATCCTCCTGTATGCCATTAAAAGCTTTCTTCGGTCTACGGTATGGATGGTCATGCGGGAGAAATTTTCCGTGCTCTGTTATAAACTGTCTTCTTTCCATGTTTCAATTGTATATAACTGGTCTCTTCTTCACAAATAGGACAAGCATAATGCCCATTCACACTATACCCACTCAACTTTCCATAGGCAGGGAAGTCATTAATGGTGCAAAATAACATTGCATGCAACTTGAACTTCTGCTGCTGATACCCATCAAATGCATCTACTCCTTCCTCCCATAATAGTGTTAAGTCTTCTATCAAAGGACTCAAATACACATCTATGTCATTTCCTGGCTGTCTTGGACCTGAAATCATCATACACAACATGACATATTTGCGCTTCATGCATAACCATGGTGGAAGATTGTAAATCATCAATAAAACGGGCCATGAACTATGGTTACTACTTAAATTTCCAAAAGGATTCATCCCATCTGTTGCTAATCCAAGTCTAAGGTTTCTTGCATCACTACCAAAACTTGGAAATAGACGGTCAAAATTCTTCCATTGGGGAGAGTCAGATGGATGTCGCATTTGCCCATCACATATTTTTCTCTTTGAATGCCAAATTAAATTTTCAGCATCTTCGTGAGCGTACAACCGCCTAAATCTTGGAATAATTGGAAGATACCATAAAACTTTTGCAGGAGGACATTTTTTACCACTCTCCTGACTACAATCATCACCATCCTTCGTTTTGTAACGTGATACACCACATGTTGGACATTGGTCTAAAGATGAGAATTATTTCCTGTATAACACACAATCATTAGGGCAAGCATGTATCTTCCTATATTCTAAACCCATCGGACATAGTATCTTCTTCGCTTCATACATACGGTCCGGCAAGGTGTTATTGTCTGGGAGCATCTCCTTCAAAAGTTGGAGTAATTCATTAAAACTTGTATCACTCCAACCAAATTTTGCTTTTAGATTGACCAATCTTAACACAGATGATAACCGTGTGAAAGTTGTACATCCGGGATACAAAGGTGTCTCTGAATCGGTCCTCAATGTATCATATATAGATGCATGTGCTTCAAGAAAGCTCTCTTGACCCACATCACAAAGCATGTCCTCTATTCGATCTTCGCAGGTTACATCATCCTCAATAGTTTGTGATACTGTTGGAATATCAACCACTTCACCGTGCCATGTCCATATGGTGTAATTCTTCATCATCCCATCGCAAATAAGATGCTCCCGCATTGTGTCCATCTCTTGTACTCTACCATTTACACAATTAACGCATGGGCAGTAGATTTTTCCATTCATTTTGGGAGCATTTTGTTCGGCAAATTTCAAAAAGGAGTCAACTCCATTCTCATACACTTCTGACATACGACTTGCATTGACCCAAGTTCGATCCATCTAACTACACAAAAAGGCTTGCCTAGATATTCAAGGTTTATTAGAAAAGGTTTAACAAAACAATACAAAAAAAACGTGTACATTGCCTAACAATGCTCTAATGTTCCATACATGCTCTAATGTTCCATATACCACTTCGAAACCTAAACCTAAACCTAAACCTAAACGAAACCTAATGTTCCATATACCACTTCGAAACCTAAACGAACCTAGATCAAATCAAACCATATATACAAAATCATCCATCATCTTTCTAATGTTCCTACGCAGGAAATGCTCTAAATAATCCATATTTGTGTTAAATGCATGTTGTAAATCATCCATACAACTTAATCTAACCTGATGAGAGTGCAGCGAGTGGGCGGCGAAGGGGCGGCGAGGGGGCAGAGCACGGCAGTGAGGACTGAGGCAGCAGACCACAGCGAATGAGGTAGCAGCGGCGAGTGGGCGGCGAAGGGGCGGCGAGGGGGCAGAGCGAGGGGGCGGCGAAGTGGGCAGCGAAGGGGCGGCGAGGGGGCAGCAGTGAGGACTGAGGCACAGCGAAGAAGAAGCAGAAGGAGGGAGTATGTGGGACGAAGAAGAAGCAGACGAGGGGACAACGCGCCTAGGAGGAGACGTATAAAGGACATTCAACGTCGGTTATTAAAAAATCCGACGTAGATAACGCTTTCGACGTCGGGTAAATCATGTAACCGACGTTGATTTTGGGAATTCAACGTCGATTATACATAACCGACGTTAAATTTAAACATTTAACGTCGTTTGTCATATAACCGACGTTGAATTGCAGTTACTACGTCAGTTATTATATAACCGACGTTAAATTTTGTTTCATAATTACAAGTTTGTCACCGCGTCTTGTACAACGTCGGTCTTCGTGATAACCGACGTTGGATGCTGTCGTAGAAAGTGTTTTCTGTAGTAGTGCTAACAAGAACTTTATCTTACTATTACTAGCACATGCTTTAAAAACCATACAAGACTTAAAAGAAAAAAAAAATCAAAAGCGTTTTGAAAAGAGAAAGTACTTCGTCAAGAGAACAAACTGAGGAAGTTGAAAAACATCAACAAAACTTCCTCAAGAGCTTATTCCTTTAAAGAAGAATATATCTAATGAAGGGTCTGAAACCTTTTTCAAAAACAACATAAGCCCTTAAGTAAATTTGGACATGGATATGGCAATGACAAAAATCTTTGATGAGAAAAAAAAATTATATGCTTTTTCTATATATAAATTTTTCTTAATTTCAATTTCTAAACAACATGATCATGTCAGAATTTTGTTTTTTAATATAAAAATATTCAAAAAAATTATTACACTATAACTTATGAGTGTTTCCTTTTATTCTTTAGTCCTTGGACTCCCACTTTCATTTGAAAAAAAAAAAGTAGCCTAATTGATTCAAAACTGCTAAACTCAACCATAATTAATTAGCAAGGGTTTTTCAGTAATTTAATTTAAAATACAAGAGATTATCCAGTCACATGCATTTTCATTTAATCTCAAGTGGGGTTAATATAATTTGAGTTTTCATATAGCTTCTAAAATTGATTACATAATCAAACACTATAAATTATACCTGTTGGTGGAGGCTTCAACTGAAAACAAGTGAATACAGACAATCATTTTGTTGTTAATAATTATTTAGTATCCTTGTATGTCTGTCTGTGTGTCTCAGAGTGAGAAAGAAGAAGACTAGTACACTTGCCATCTGATATAAAAGTTCCTACAAGTTTTTGGATTGTTCCGGTAGTTATAATATTTAACATGTTGATTTGGTGCTAAAGTAACACATAATCAACAACCAATCAAGTTTACACATTCGATAATACTGAACAAGAAATTTTCGTTATTTTAGACAAAAGAATTCTCTAGAGTTGTAAATATGATATATAACTTTATTTCAAACAAAGAGAGAGAAACACTGAGAGGATAAGATGAAAAAACAAATAAGACATATGAAATTGACTTTTTCTTAACAATTCTTTAATAAAACAACTTTGTCTGACATATTAATAAAATACAACAAGTTGTATCCAAATATTTTGGTACACATTATTAACATGCCTAAACTAAAATTAAGGCCGACTCATGTCATACTAATAATATGATTTGATTAAATATATTTCAATTTCAATTTCAAATAGCAGTAGTTTACTATATAATGCTTAAATAATATTTTAAGTCTTAATGAACTCATGTTGGAGATTAAATAAATACAAAGATAATTAGTTTAATTCCATCTCCTTTTAACACCAAACCATAGAAATGGAAATGGATTGAACATGTAATGCCTCATATCCTTGTCTTGACATATTTGGCTGAGCAGGTTCAAATGCAGATATTTTCTTCCTCTAATTGCATGTTGTTGTTGACTTTAATGTAATGTTCCAAACCGCTAACCTTCACCATGACATAACCATTTCTATTATCTCCTTAACTCCAGAACAAGCCACTGCTATTTCATACATAGGATGAGCAGCAACACTGCAGTTGATTCCCCTGGATTCCTTGGCTCAACCAACATCAGTGGCTATAGTTATGGCATAGGAATCTCCATTGGAATTCTCTTGCTCATCATGGCCATTACTCTAACTTCCTACTTCTGCACCAGAACAAATGTCTCATTTGCTCCAGCAACTAGGAGCAGGAGACTCGCCCCAAATGTTCTTCAACCACAGCACTCTATAGTTGATGGAAGCTTAGATGAAGCCACGATTCGGAGTTATCCAACCCTGCTGTACTCTGAAGCCAAGGTCCAGAAGTCTGATTCCACTGCAACATGTTGCTCCATTTGTCTGACAGATTACAAGTGTACTGATATGCTTCGCGTGCTACCAGATTGTGGGCACCAATTCCACCTCAAGTGCATAGATCCATGGTTGAGATTGCATCCCACTTGTCCAGTTTGTAGAACATCTCCAATTCCAACGCCACTCTCAACTCCTCTGGCTGAAGTGGTTCCATTGGCTATCAGACAGGATTCATAGGTAGAGGAAGAGCAGAATTTTAACTCTTGAGTCATCACTGATTCACAAAATAGATGAGATATGGCTATTAAAGATACATGTATGTATTCATAGAGGATTTTTTGTTTTTTTACTTCATTTTTTTCTTGTATGTGTACCCTTCCTTTTATAGGAATGAATAAAATTGCTTCAAATATTGGCCTAACAAGAGTAGAAACTCATTTTCTGCTTTTCAGAAGGGCCTCTGGCATAGAAATGCATCTTCATTTGCTTCAGGTGACCATAAAATTATGTTCAAATTTGGTAAACTTCATCCACTTAGGATTGTTTGTAAATTAAAAAGAGAACTTTTATGAAGTTATTATTTCAATCATTAATCAGAATGAAATTATTTAATGTATGAAAATAGACCTTACAAAGATGGTTTAAATTTTTGTAACTTTAATGTTATAATAGATAGTGATAATGACTGCTCAACAGTACAAGTGGTGATAAAAAGATAGTGCAAGAGTGGATTAATTTAGAAGAAAGGGATTTAAATTTTAATATTAAGCTTCACTTTTGTATGATCTTTACTTCATACAAAAACTAAAAAATAATCGTCACTATCGACAATTGAATGATTAACAAGATTTAAAGAAAAACTAACATCAGTTTTTTTTTTTATTACAATGTTGTAAAACATGTCAATGAAAAATAAAAATTAAAATCACCTGATTCACTTGACTGATAACTAAGAATTTTTGAAAATTAATTTTTATTGAGAAATATAATAGTCTAATTATATTCTTTTAAAATTAATTTTTATTGATTTTTTATTGAAAAATATAATACTCTATTTATATTATGTTAAAAACTTCTACTCATATATTAAGAAATAAAATCTTACAATATCAAATAATAATCACCCACAATCTCATCAATATCAAAATATTAATAAATTTTTATTTATCATTTTATTTAATTTTATCCAACAAAACTCCTTTGCATCTAAGAACTAAATCAAACTGTCGGACTTGTAATTTGCTCCTAAGTATATTATCATGTTGTGATTGACATCTGATTTTTTGTGTAACATCAAACTATGATCAACCATTTGGTTCTTATGTGAGGTAGGTCTCACCCACCTTTTAGTATTCTTTAGCAAAATGTCCCACTTTTTCATAGGTAAAACATTTGTCCGATTAACAATATTTCGTATAGTGGTCATACTTGTTATATTTGAAGCATTTGATGTTTGAGTGGTTTGTCAACCGATCTCTTCTTTGACCATATCCTCTTCCTCATCAATTTTACTGAATTCTTTCTTCCTTCTCCCCAACTCGGCCACCTCGACCTCCTCAACCAATTTGTCCACCTCGGTCTCGACCATTACATTCTCTTCCTCTATTATTCTGAAGATAGAGAGTTTTTTCCTCTTTTACTTCATTATGGAGCAATCACACACGTTTATCTTTTCCTTCTTTTTCTTCTTTAGGCTTCAAAAGAAGCAACTAACTCTTTTATTGTAAGCTCAGACAAGTCATTTCTTGCTCTGTCGCACATTCTGAAACTCCTTTCAATGACTTAAAACAATATAAATAGAGTTGTATTATTCTTTTGAACATTTCTCTTTTAATGCCTTAAGAGTGAATGACATTCATCCTTGATTTTTTATTCTTCAAAACATTTATTTACTATTTTTCAATAATCTTGGACTTTGAAGAGAGATTTTTGGATACTCTATCTATCATACTTAACATATTTCGTCAGCTGAACACAACTGTAACATTTGTCGAGTGATCATTCTCACTTTTTAACTTTCTCTCACTCTCAAAAATTCAAATTCTAACTCTCCTAAAAAAAACTACTTTTTTTTTTAAATCATAACTCTTAATACCAATTTAATAATTATAAATTTATTAAAACTCACTCTTATTTATTCTTTATCATACATCAAATGAAAAATATAATAATTTATTTATATAATATCAAAAATCTTTAATAAAAACTCTCAATATCAAATAATAATCATCAATTATATTATTTTTACGAAAATATTTGAATAAATTCCGAATATCTTTTTTATTTAATTTTATCCTAATAAATTCTTAAACTAATTATCTTATTATATTTTTAATTTAATTTTACCCAACATTAACAATTTCAACACTGGCTCACCTAACGTTCTTCATCATCTGTCGGTCTTCCACTCACCCATGATTCAACCACCTTAATTAGCATACGCTATTTAGCACCATTTTTATTTGTTTTAACATTCATTGAATTTTTGGTGCAGTGCACTAGAATTCAGGAAGATCAATGGAAAGCTTAAGCTCCAAGCTCCTCCTATTTTTCTCCTTCTCGCTCTGTCTACTTTACCAACTGGCCGGTTCCTATTCCACCAACGTTCAGTATTGTGGTAATTAGTCTCCATCTAACACCTTTTCTACATTCTTCTTATCTTCTTTCTTTTATAGGTCACTCTTATGATTTATACAAGGATGAATTTCTCAATCGATGAAACAATTAGCTCAGATTTCTTAGCTTTATTTGTTTATCGATTCGTAAAGTTTTGAGTGGCTTAAGTTTTAAATCCTAAAAAAGTTGTTTTTAGGTCTGTTATTTATTAAAAAAATTGAACTGAATTTCTATAAAATACTCTTTTAACTGTGTTTTTTTACGATTTTTTTAATTTTGATATATTAGATAAAATTAATAATAAATTAATTAACTTTAAAAGAGTTACTGGATCGTTTTATAACCGTTGAACGACTAATGATATCACGATAAATCCTTTACTTTTACAAAATTTTCTCTATATAATTATTTTAAATGTTAAATTTTTTTCATTTGACAATCATAAATAATAATATCATGAATTTGCATTTCGATTGTCGTAAATTTAGATAATAAATAAATAAATAATCATAAAAACGAAATGGAAGAAGTATACGGAAGAGCTACTTGACAAAAAAATTATTTTACGAGAAACTTGTTTTAAAAAAATAAAAATGAAATATTATATATATAAAAAATATTATTTTTTAAGGATAAAAATCTCAATAATAACATTCTGAAAATTTTACTGTAAACTTAAATTTACTCAAAAAATACTGAAGGATTAATATAAAATATATAACTATTATAAACGAATTCAATGCAATTAAGGTTACAATAACTCATGGCATTACCAAAAATAAAACTTATAATTAGTGATGACTTAAATTGTATGTGCAGATAAGAAAGGTGACTATAACGTTAAGGTGAAAGAAGTTAAAATATCTCCTAATCCTATTGCAAGAGGCAAGCCTGCTACATTTAGCATTTCTGCAACTACAGGTATTTGTTATATTTGTTCATTGCAGATTGAGGTGTTAACTGTGTATTACTTTTGGCTAATAGAAGAATTTATATTTCATGAACCTTGAGCCAGGTGAAGCAATATCAGGAGGGAAGGTGGTGATTGATGTTTCGTATTTTGGATGGCACGTACATTCGGAGACACATGACCTTTGTGGAGAGACATCTTGCCCTGTTTCAATTGGTGACTTTGTGTTTGCTCATACACAAGTTTTACCAGGATTCACTCCACCTGTAAGTCATAATTCTATTCATTCCTATAAGTGACTTCTCACTTGATCCAAAATCTTGAATTATTGGTTTCTTCTCTAATGATAATTGGAATTTGGAAGCAGATGAAACCGATTATGGCTATCAGTGTTGATGTATTAATTACCTATTTATTGGATGGTACTTTTAAGTGTTATCATTTGCAATACTTTTCATTACAACTAACATGAGTTATATATGCAGCTAACTTTGTGATAATAATGCATAGAGAAGTACTATAATCAATACAAAAATGCCACTATTATTGTGTTGAAATCGTGCTTACTGCCATTGGAAAACTACATTAATTATTTTGTTGGTATCACAGTTTTGTTTCCTAATCCGGCAAGGCAACAACAACCATATAAGCATGTTTTTTCAAATGTCAAATCTAAGTTGACAAATTCCTAGCTGATATGATTAACTTTTTCTGCACACACGTTAACATGCCCGAAAGACTTGACAAGGTTGCTTTATTCATACCCCCTTGTGCGTGTATTAGTACTCGCCTCAAGCACGTATACGCTCCAACTCTCACTATTTATGGATGGGATCTTAAATTTAAACATACCATGTTCCTTCTTGTTAAACAATCTCTCTGATCTATAAGAATTAATTCTTTCTGCCACAAGCACAACCAAGTCTAGGTGTCTTGTACTAGTGCCATGACCTTTTCATTGGCCTTTTCCACCAGGGAGGGGTTGGTAAGTAGATTTTGACGTAGCATATTCAGTTCTTTCAACTGTGAGTTGCCAGAAAACATCTTAAAGATGTTTAAATTTAAAGACTCACCAATCTCCTTTCTTGTATAATTAGTGTGGCGTTTTATTCTCAACGTCATGCCTCTCACCATGTGTCATGTTTCCAGGGTTCGTACTCTTTGAAGATGAAGATGTTCGATGGAAACAATCAAGAGTTGACTTGCATTGGATTTGGATTTGATATTGGTTTTATCTCCGGTGAGGCTGATAGCTGATCAAAGTCGGTTATATATCCCAGAATCTATTATCAAGCTCATAAAAAACAATTTGTATCAACTGTAAACTTCAAACTATCTTTATAAAACTCAGTTCCTTCTATGGTACCAACTTCATCAGTACATAAATCATATATGATATCTTACCTATATATTTATTTCTAGTACTTGCAGATATTTAACTGCACAAACTTGGTATTTCTTTAATAATTCGTATGGTGCCAATCATTCTCAGAAGGTGTAGCTGTGATGCAATATAAGTTGTGTCTGTACGTACTGATATGTGATACCATGAATGCATATGCTTTATTTCATACTTTCAATAAAAACTTGTATTACATATAATAAATACACCCATGAGAATTTCTTTGCAGGAGGGATACAGGGAGCATGAAAAAGTTGGCACACGCATACACTTACTCTGCTTTAAATTTTACTTGTGATTCAGTGGTCTGACGTGAGAATCAAGGTGAGTTGCATTCATGTGCTTGATTTATAAATGCATCCAAAATCGTATACTTGTGCCTATACATCAAACAAGGGCTTAAGGGTGTATAATGTAAATGTTTAGCCACAAACGTGTTTCAACTTTCAACTTGTTAGGTGGACAAATTATTGATTCACTTTTATGAAATAGACATATAATGGTTGCAATGTCTAGTGCTTTTCTTAATTTTTGCTTGCAACAATTAATCTTTAGGTCTTTCCAGTGTGCCACTTTATGTGCGTGATAACGGCATTTGATTGCGGATGTGGAAGGATTAAAAATATGATGTCTCTGCACAAAAAGGTTCAGTCATGTAAACTTCGTTTGATAGGGAGATGAAATTAAAAGAGATTGATTTCGGAGTAATAAAAAGTGCAGATGGTAATTAAAATTGGAAGGATGAAATGTGATGAAACTGCGAAGAAATTGTAAAGTTAATCTTACTAAAATCTCGAAAACATCTTTAAATTTGTCTACGAGAAATTTCACAATAGACATTAAGTTTAAGGTAATACATCAAGCATAATCAACTCTTAGGAACAACAGATATTAGATATTGGTCGTATCAATCTTAAAAAAATCACATTACTGATAAACATGTGGGTCACTAAATTTCCATCAACAAATCAGAGAACTAACTAAAAGTCACATTTTTTCAACTATTTGTATCTTTTTTCCGTGCGATTAGCAACAAGTTACTAAAAAGACAAATAAATGGAGTGACTGCACGATTATTGATGAGAGTTGCTTATAGATTCTTAAACCTTAAGAACTTAATTGTAAAAAATTGATAGAAGTTTTAATATTAAAACCAGTTCTTAAGAATTGTGATTTTAAGTTTGTAAGGATGGCAAGAAAATATGTGAAGCTATTAAATAAGGTGACAAGGTGGAATATTTGAAAAGTGAGTTGAGTAATTTCGGCATGGTGGTATTGCAGCATTGCATGTAAACTTACAATTTTATTCTCATTTCTTTTATCCCAAAGCTTACAGTTTGAGGACAACTCGGCTTTTACCGGAATGTGTGGAATCATGATCATCGGCACACTTTGTCTCCTTGGCATTGGGCAAACGAATAGTTGTGGTCCAAGGGCACCCCAGTGAAATTGGTATGAAACCAACTGAATCATGTGCCAAATTGAGATTACATAAGGCTGGCATAGTTCCCCGATGAAATAGGCAAATGATATTGGGGAATATTAGCTACTTTATAGTTTTCAATTAACAAATGTCCTTCATATTCCACACCATGATTGAGGCACCAAATGGTAGGTAAAGGGTCAGTCCCACTCTAATCTGATAAAAGATGAGGAGTGGGTGTAGCATTGTCCCCACACCATCCAGTGATCATTCAAAAGCAAACCCAACATCACACAGCTTTACAAATCTACACTTTATACTCTCTTCAAACCGCAAGAGAAAACTTATCGTCAACCCCGCTGTATTTGCTCAGTCTTTCTCACCCTCTTCTTTTCTTCAATCTTTCAACCAATACCAATCACATGCCATCCAATTTTCTAGAGCTACAAGACACAACAGGAATAATGGTGAGAGGAAGATTCGCAAGAAAACTAAAACTCGCTACAACCATAACCAACTTGAAGAAACAAGGCCTAGTTCTGCAAAAAAGGTTTCCAACCCCATATGATGATTACAAAGAAAACAAAAACAACCTATCTGAGCTAGTGGTTGAGGATGGTAATCATTTTGAGGAGGAAGAAGCCACCGTAGGGTCCAAAGAGATCACACAACTTTTGGAAGAAAAGTTATTAGTGGCTGCTACTATCAAGATGGCATCATGCAACAATGAATACCCATCTCTCAGTGATTTCAAAGAGTTATGTCCTCCCGGGGGGAACCACTCAATCATTCTCTACACAACAAGCTTGAGAGGGATAAGGAAAACGTTTCAGGACTGTAACACGATCCGTTTCTTGTTGAGGAGCTTCAAAATAATGTACCATGAGAGGGATGTTTCTCTGCACTTGGAGTTCAGGGAGGAGTTGTGGAAAATCTTGGGAGGGAAAGTGATTCCTCCAAAGCTTTTCATCAAGGGAAGGTTCATTGGAGGAGCTGATGAAGTGGTCGGGTTGCATGAGATGGGGTGGCTTGGGAAGTTTCTAGAAGGAACACCAACTCACTCTAGTGATTCTCCTTGCACTGGCTGCGCCAACATGAGATTCGCTATTTGTTCCTACTGTTGTGGAAGTTGCAAAGTGTTCACTGGCAACAGAGACAACAACGATGAATGCTTCGTTAGATGTTCTGAGTGCAACGAGAATGGCCTTGTCAAATGCCCCGTTTGCAGCTAGCTAGAGATTTATCCAACCTTTGGTGCGTTTGTTTTCATTTTTCAGTTTATATGTTTTTAATTCCAAGAGCATCATTTTTGTTTTCACTGTATTTTGTTTTCAAAAATTTGTTAAGGAAAAGGTGACAACAAAGTAAGTTCAGTTGTTCTCACTGATTTCTTAATAAATTAGTGAAAATGAGAAGTAGAAGTGAAAATGAAAAGATAATTTTAACAATTATTGGTATCAACTGAAAATGAAAAGAAAAAAAAAACATAGGTGGCCATATAAGTTCTATATTCTTCTTGTACTATATTATTAATTTTTTTTACTCTTTAGTCCTAGTTATTATTGGCATGTAACGAACCAGCCTTGTCTATCTGGTTTCTTAGAAATGGACATTGTATGAAACTCGTATACGATCAGATGTAGAAACTGCAGTACCAGCTAATGTTGTGTAGTGTGACAAGTAAACATGTTGCTCGGTTATTTGTAGTGTTTTGAATGAAAAATTGAGTATCATGTGTTCATAAAAAATATTAATTTAAGGCTAAGATCTGTGACTGTTCGAAACCAAATTTCGTGTAATTAATAATTTACTAGTTTTAATTTTACTTGTTAATTTTTGTTGTTTCGTAAAATGTAGATGGACAAAAATTTAGTCATTTTCTGTTAGAATATGGGATATATATATATATATATGGGGAGAGTGAGTGAGAGAGAGAGAGAGAGAGAGATTTAGCTGCTATGTACAGAATCCAAATTTCATAAAAAAAACAAAAACAAAAAACTACTCATCCATGCCTAAGAAAAATGTATTGGTATGTCGATGAAAGCGTGAGCAAAAGGTAATTGTCTTATGGTAAAGATTCGTTCGATGGTTGTTTGTTAATTGAATCAATTGATACCATTAAATATAGGGTAAGTATCTAAATTAATTTCAATCACATTTTTTCATTATTATTATAAGGAGAAATATGTGTTTGGATGGATCTGTGTCTTTCCAACCAAATGTTTCCACCAAAAATATATAAAAAAATAAAATAAATTTATCCATAAGTTAAAATAATAATAATAATAATAATAAATAAATAAGAAGAACACCAATGGTTAAAGCAGTCAAACGTGAGCATAAGCGCACATCCTTCAATTTACAGTGTGATTGTATATGTAGAATCCTCAGTTTTTGCTAGAGCTACGGTCTATTGTGCAGTCATTGATTATTCAACCACTGCAGGTGAATAACAATACTGTGAGAGTTGGGTGTAGTGAAACTCAACTTGCAGTAATCTATGATGAAGGTTTGCTGAAGAAATTAGACCTTTCTTGGCATCTGCTTCCAATTCTCTGATAGGCATTGCAGCTAGGAAGCTTTTAATGTACTCTTTACATGCTTCCTTCCCTCTGCTGCTTATGATTTCCTCTTCTTGCTCACTTCTCAACTGCTCATCCTTTCCTTCAACACAATCCACATCCTTGTTGTTTACATGTTGTGTTTTCTTGATATTGGGATCTAGTACTTCTGCTTGTTGGTCATTGGATGTTTTACCATCTGATGAATGAGGAACATTTGGCATCTTGTAAATCACTGTGCTGCTGTCAAATTTCAAGATATATGCCTGATTGCACCCTTCATAAAGTCTTTCTCCCAAGGTGTCAATGATGTAGTAACAATCAGATTCAACTTTGAGGACGAAGAAATGGTCGTTCCAACTAACAATATAAATACGAGGTTCACCATTGCCAAAACACTCTGGTCCAACACAACTAATCTCATCCCAAATATTATCAAACGACATGGCGCCTTGTAAAAAGTCGAATTTCCCTTCATCCATGCCTTCGGGTTGAAAGAAACCAATGAAAGACTTTCCAAAAGCCACGGCAAGGGAACGTATTTTTGCTTGAATGATTGTTTCGAGGTCAAAATGCTTGTCAGGGAAACGCTCTTTATAGGTATCATTGTCACATAGTTTCCTCCATTCTGAAGAGCCTTCTCTAATTAGACTGTCAAACTGAGACTTTATGGGCATAAGATCACGATTATTTTGGAACCAGTCAGCAATCACAGCCACAAGAGCTGTACATGCACTCTCACCTGCTGCACAGTCACTGCGTTGATCAATTGAAGCAAAGAAGACATGTGTCTGAAGCTTCATACGACCATCACGACTCATGACTTCTTTCTGCTCCCAACTCCCTACAGCGAAACTGTCATCCCCAAATTCAGAGATTGATGATCCATGTACAGCCGTGTCCTCCTCAATCTTGTACCACTGCATTAACATGAATAAAATAAACTAACTGGGCAACAAAAATTCCAACAGTCTTCAATTTATGTCAAAAGTTTATGGATGGTTTATGTAGCCCAATTCCAATGAACAATGGACATTTATACGCTACATATTTGTTAGTTTACAATCATCAACACACAAATAGGACTTGGGCTAAAACTGCCCCCCAAAAAGATCAATTGCGAAGGTTTGCAAAACAGGAAATTGATTGATTCTCCAATGATGAAGAAACAAGTTTTGATTAAGAAGAATTCTCACAGGTAAAGAAAGGGATTCATCGGAGCAAAGTTGACGACGATCAAAATCTATGTCATCACCTCCTTCTTCTGCATACGCCTTCTTTAACAAAGGCTCTCCCCTAAAAGTTTTAGGAGATCTGAAACTCAACTTCCTCTTCCTCCATGGAAGTATGCTGCGCTTAGAACTTTGTATTAAATAATGCTCGGAAGAATAAGCGGTGGAATCCTCCATCTGTGAACACCCAACATCAGACTTAGGTTGGCTGTAATAAATCCAATCTTCATCATAATTTACTCTCATGTTGGAATTAAAATATCCTCCAGCATTTGCAGAGGCCAGTGTTCCATAACTGAATGACTTCCTAACACCGGAATGTTCCTTTCCCTCATCTGTTTCGCCTTCCTCAGAATCATCAAACGATTCAGTATCCAAAGGATAACTGTATTCACCGTCCTCACTCCTAGATGACCTACCTTCACTTCCCTCTTCCTCAGGAGAACCCTTTTTTACTTTCTTGAAAGATACCAACTCCGTCAAAATTTTTACTTTCATACAACCAGCTTTAATTGTAGAAAGCTCATCTTTTTCTGCCAAGGTTTTTTCTCCTGACTTGGCGGAGGGCAATGGCACAGGCACTATAGAGCTCTGAACTCGCTCCAAGCTTCCTTGAGCAACTCTTTGCTCTATCAAGCTAATTGATATCTGCATAAAATCAAAATCCGTTATAACAAATACAGAGATGAAACTTCAAAGCTACAATAATTGTCACTGTAAATTGGACCAGTCTATACACAGAGATGCCTATATACATACTACAGCATGAGAGAAAAGAAATCAGGAAAGTACTGGGAAAGAAACTCACACAAAGTAAAGGAGAAGGCTCTACAAATCCTCCAGTTAGCGTGAGTGGAATGTTCAAATCAAAATCTTTCTGATGGGTTAAAGATGCAAACTCAGCAATATTCAATAATTTCGTTCCAATAGCAACCTTGCTTCTCGATTTCTGATTCAATCCCTGCAATATATTGAGTGTAGGACTCTAATACGTTTATGACTTTGTAAGACACTGTTTAAAAACATATTCTTTTATAAATATAATAAAAATAATTATAATTAATGTAATTTTTTTAAAATTACGTTGACAACCTTCGTATCAATGTTTATTGAAAATCAATATAATTTTCTTATAATATGTGAAATTGATGAAAAGATTTGCAATATTAAATTTTTAAAAGAAATATTTTGTTTATCTATTATTTAAAAATCTTTTAAAAAACATTAATATTAGTACGGCGGAAAAGTTGACAGAGACTAACATTAAAAAGAGTGAAAGCGATCTCCCAGGGGCGAAAGACATTATCCTTGTAACAGTTCATATTGCACAATGTTTGAAACTCCTCATCCCAGTCAACCACGGCGGCGCCGTCGACAACCGCCTCTCTGGTAAAATTTCTACCGACGGAGTTCCGCAACAGAGAGCCGAGCGTCATCTTAGGACCCTTCCATCGAATCTCCACGACCAATCTGGAACCTTCCCGTCCAGCGTCTTGCAGCAGATGACAGCCCTGGAGCCTCCGCACAATCAACCTGACTAGGAACTTCTTGGAGACTAGTGGTGGCCATGGCCGCCACTTCATCATCTTCACCGTTATCCCTTCTTCTCGTTTGCTCAGGCCCTGTTGTCCCAAGAACGAATGAAGGAGAAGATGGTGTTGGTGGAACGAAACAAGGTTAAGGTTGTTGCTGATTTATTTATGGAGGAATCGGAACAGGGACTCCAATTGACTTTTTCAAAATATTAGTGCTTTTAAACTTGCATGATGCATATATTGAACTCTTCTTGCAAGAAAATTGTTATTTGTTTATTAGTATTTAGTCCATTTATTGGATCAATATTTACATTCACAGGTAAGAAATGCACATTTTTTTAAGTTATTAACCTTATCTTTGGAAGCATTTTGACATGATAGAAAGTGATGAAATCAAAGGAAAAGAAAGAGAAAAGATAGTTTGAAATGGAGGTTTCTATTTAATATTGGATGAAAACAAAATGATACTCATGAGTTTTAATGAATAAAAGGAGCATGACTGGTATGATCGGAAAACGTTGACCAAAGTTATTAATGTCTAGACAATATACAGATTGACAATAAATTTTACATGTTATTTTTAAATTTTTAAGAATTTCAAAATGTATGAATAAATTATTCTATAATTAAACCGTGATAAATTTTGTTTGGACAAATGATAAACAGGTACGAGTAAATTATTCTATAATTAAACCTCAATACTCACAATACAAATAAATAATATCCTTATGTTCACAATTCAAGTGAGTAATAAAAAATATTTAATAAAATATGTTATAAATAAATATTTATTATTATAATATTAAATAAATAAAAATTAAAAATTCAGATATATCTCAAAATGAATATATTTTTTTTATTATACATCATATTTTCACCCTTTTATCATGTAATTTTTAAATTTATTCTCTTTGATTATCTCTATATGATAAGAACTCAGTACCAAATAAAAAAAAATGAGTAAAGTTAACACCAAGCAGATGCCACAGTGAGAGTTCTTCCCATCCAATTAAAGTAAACTCCAACATTCCCAAGGGGGTATTCGCAACATCACCCTGGAGCACAGGGATGTTTTCCAAAGCATATGAGTTGACTGATGTGTTCCTGGCTGAGAAGCCGCGCCACAGGTGGCGGATATTCCTGCTCAAAAGTATATACTTTTAGATAATTTGCATAATTTTATAAATTTTATCATAGAAATTATTTATAAAAAATATATAATTTTAAAATTTTATACAAAATTTTACTGCTTTATAATGTTATATAGTTTTATATAATTTAAAATATATTTGTAATTTATATGAGTTTTATAATTTACATAAATTATATTACTTTTTATAATTTAGTAACAAAGTTATATGTTGAAAGGCTTACATCACCTACCTTATGTCGTTTGGTATGATTTAAATACATGTTAGGTTACTCCATATATTGTTAATTGGTTTTATGTTGGAACCTTAACATGGTATCAGAGCCAAAAATTGCCCTTTAGTTGGGTCAAAAGTACCATTTGCCTGGTCTGGCAGGCTTTATTGGAGGGGGTGTGTTGAAAGTCTCACATCGCCTACCTCATGTCATTTTGTATGGTTTAAATACATGTTAGGTGTTGGAACCTTAACAGTATAAATTACAAAATAAAAAATTATATCATTTTTATTATTTATAAAAATTGTTTATAAAATAAATTATTATAAAATTGTTTATAAAATTTGTTTATAATTATAAGATATACATTGTCTAAATTTATATGATTCGTAATTTTTAAGACATATACATAATTATTTTATTTTATAAGTTTTAATATATATATATATATATATATATATATATATATATATATATATTATCAAGATGATATGAACCTCTTCGGATATAATAATGTCAGTTTAAAAGTCCATTCAAGTTCATATTTCTCATAAGAATAACACTCTGTGATAAAACAGATTCAGGGATCAGAAGCTTTCTGATACACAAGATTCTCATAAGAGGCAAGTGTAGAGCATACTTACGTCTAATTAGGGAATGATAATAAGAATATACTTCAAACTTTCAGAGAAGAGAAAGTTTAGAGAGAAAACATTTTAAGAAAGAGAACTAGATTTTATTTCATTTTGATTCATTCTGAGTTACAACATTACAAACCCTCCCATTTACAGGTAAACCACACAAGCGGAGCTCAAAACTTACGCTAAACTAAAATGAAATTGAGACTCGAATTATTATACAAGGTAGAATCTGAAGATAAGGTTACGGCTTACATTGATTATGGCCTTACAAACAAGATAAGGTACGATGAGATATCTTAGAAATTAGATATGATAAAATATCATATTTTTCAGATAAGGTAAAGTTGATTCGGTCTCATCTTCATTAACATATTTGTGGAGCTCGCAATAGACACGTATAAAGATAAGAGAATCTTGTTTTAGTAACTTGTCATGATGACAATCATTAACTAAAACCTTTACTTTGAGTTAGATCTAGTGGAGCCAGAATGATTGGCCTTGCTTATACTTCCATGTAGTGGGTCCTAGTAGGGGTTCATCTTCTTATGCATTATCATCTTTTCCATTAAGTCCTCGTTGTAATTACCAACAAGTCTTTAGCCTTTTGAAATTCTTTTTCGGGCATATAGATCTCAACCGTTGATTTGAAAAATCTTATCTTTTGTGTGTCATCATCTTTTAAGATGATTTGATTCAGAGGATAAACGCTGAGTGACCTTTGTGATAAGCTGGCAATATTGGGCTCTACTGGCTTGTAATGATAGTTGTTGACTTCGTAGAAATGTCTAGCCAATTGAGTCGTGTAACTTTCATCTATAGGATAAGTCTCAAAAGTTACCCAGATGTAGGCTTCCTTTCTTGACCATAATTTTCCTGCAGGATTTAGAAAGTATGGATGATGGATGATGGATGATGAAGATTAAAGTAAGATCTTTAAGGAAATCTTCTGTCATTCCTCTTTGTTTCTAGAAGTCCAAAATTCTTTTTGGTTCTTGTCTCCACCAAGACAATGATGAAAATCATTGTTAGGGCTTCTTTGAATATGGTGTGATAGTGTTTTTAGGCATCTTTGAACTGTCCACAGTAATATTTTTTCCCATTGTCTTCTCCGACGAAAATGCTCCCCAATAGTCGTCACTAAGTATTCTTTCTCCATTGTTTGAGATTTTTAGAGCTGGAGAAGATTGGGTTATTTTCTTCAGTTCTTTTATTGCTCGAGTTTGTTCTGGTCCCCAAGAAGGAGGGTTCTTTTTCAACAACTTCGACAAGGGACTTATAGATTTGGCAATGTTGAGAATGAAAACATAGTTGACTATTCTAAGAAATTGTTGGATTTTCTTGATTGTTAAATTTTCATTGAGAAAATTAAGAAGCTCTTCAGCAATGTGAGGTTGAGATTAATACGAGCCTTGACAGGAATGCATTCCTAAAAATTCAATTTCTTTTTAGGCCAAGTGGATATTCTTCTCGGAGAGCATGATCCAATAACTTGCTATGAAAGTTCATGTCCTGAGAGAATAGTATAATATCATCGATGTAAATTATTGTTCTATCTAATATGGGCTTAAAGATTTTTGTCATGACCTTTTGAAATAGTGATGGGGCAACTTTAAGCCCAAAAAGCATTATCTTTCACTGATATTAAGTATTAGGTATGCAAAAAGCAGTTTTGTATCTATACGAAAGATCAATGCCTATTTGTCAAAATTCATATTTAAGATCAAACTTGGAAAAGATATGAGTTTTTTTTATTAGAGTGGGTAAAGATCAGACTTTATGGATTGAAAATTTATCATCGTTAAGAAAATGATTAAGAGGTTTATAATCAATAACTAGCCTCTTTTTCCCTCTAATTTTCTCTTATCTCTTTTTCACATAGAAGGCTTGACAGACCCAATTGGATTGGGTTGGTTCGATCAGGCCTTGTTTCAACAAATCTTAGCATTCTTGTCAGGCTAACTATAAATCTGATGGAGACATTCTAGGGTTGTAGCCTTCGTGGGATTAACATTTTCATTGAGCTTAAAGGGAAGTTGAAAGAAGAAATATGGATTCTTCCACAAGAGATTTGGATGAGAAAAGTCTTCATGACTATTAGTACACAGGGTAGCTAGCTTGACTTTTATTTCTTCTAAGTCTGGAAGAGCTTCTGAGAGAGAGGAGTCTGGGCACTTTCGTGAAAGAGTTGAATTCTCTTTTGAATTTAATCCTAGTAGGATGGATATGAAGTTTGTGAGTTATGGAATAAATATTCATTCTAGTATATCTTTATTTGGCAGCTTGCTTCCAATCACCTTTGACCAGACTATGTATTTTGGAAAGAATTTAATTCCGATTGGAGATTTTGTGATGAGGTCAGTCTTGAAAATTTTTCCATCAACTACTACAAAATAAGATACTTCTTTCTTCCAAAATTCTTTAAGAAGTATACCTGGATCCATCATGGATTTTTGTACTCTTATGTTGAGATAAGCTATAGCTTTAATGGTTTTCTCATACTTAGAAGGAAGAAGATCGACTTCAAGGCAAGGTTGAGGAGGAGAGACATAAATGTGATTAATCTCTTGGAAGGAGAAGACAAGAATAGTATATGCCTCTGATTTTGTGTCTAAATAGTCAGATCCTGTCTCATCAGAGCATATAGTGAGGACAAAGACTGTTTTTTCATCTGCAGAGCTTTATTCTAAGTATATGAACTCTATATCTTCATTATCTCCAAGTTTGAGGGTGGAGATAAGTTTTATCGCTCTTTCAGCTTTATAAGGACAACTCTTGGAGAAATGACATTTCTTCTTACAGATAAAACATCTTTGATCTTGAGATTTTCCTTGAATCTTCTTCTTGAAGAATTTGAAATCCTTCCTTTTCTTACAGGTGGGTTGTTTCTCCCACCTTTTCTTCTTGTAGTTATTTGAACAGGTTTTCTTTCACTTGATTTCGAGATAAGGCTTCTGGCAGGCCTTGTTGAACTTACTCTTCTATATCATGACGTCAGAAAAGAATTCATGTTGTCTGCATAATTTATAACGACCTCTGATGTGAACA